GAAAAGTATGACATCGAGAATAACTTGTAATTATTTCTGCCTTGAAAAAGTAATTATTCCTATATTCACAGGTCATTGTCGATATACAACAAATGAGCGACATGAACGTGCTGGTCCCACTGCGGGTAGGTTTTACTTATTTTTCCCGATCAGTTGTTATGAGCATAATCATGGTGCTACGGAACTCTTTATGACAGCAGATTTCATGCGAATACTTTTGTCTTTTGAAGGGTTTTGTTCTCCTTACTGTTTTTCCATTTTCTAGTCAAAGGCGAAACGGACCAAATCCACTTTTTTTGTATTGTTTCCTTCTTTGAGTGATCTCTGTCTTACTTTTGTACTGGTCCTCTTTCACTTCTTTGCTCTCGTTTCAGTTGATGACACTGCACTATGAACGCACTAACAAGTACTACGGTAGTGGTAACCAGTACGGTGTAGCAACCGAAGTGGAAAAGCGCTTGTCAATGCTTCTGTTCTACGCGATCTTCGATTCACTTGGAAGCCGGCCATATGATCCAGAATTGTTTGGAAAGGTATAGATGTGTAATGTTTTACAATTACTGAAAAACCGCCACTAATAGAAACACTGAGCCCTGACAGGGATTGAAATTTTGTCAGTCTCGAATGTGACAGTCGCTGATGGAATGTTTTCAGGCTCTACCATGCCTAACAGCGATCGGTTCGGCCATCTCTCCCGACTACACCCTTACTACTGGTGGTGATGACGCCGCAAAGCTAAAGGTAAGAGATACTGTTCTTACGCTAACAACAAAATGTCCACTCCAATGTTACTTGAACATACTATATTTCCGCAGTACTGTTGTCGTCTTAGGAAATTATGGAAGATGGCGGTTGGGTACCAAGGCCTGTCGACGTATCTCGCATCGACCTACCAAGGGATTTGCAGTCGATGACGGAAGCATTCGCTGAGCATTTCCATGATTCATGGGCAAGTCGAAAGGTCAGTTTGAAATTAGATGTGAGCGTGAGTGCACAATGCGAGTACTCATTATATAGAAGGGATCATCACCCTTGAGAAATGCCTGAGCTGGGGAAAGCCTATATGAGTCACACCACGAAGAAGGTTATCAGTTGGCTTGCCGAGAGGGTGTGCACTGAAACGAAGTGATGCGGGAATGTCTAAACGGAGCTGAACAATGGAGATTGTCCATCAAAATAACAGACTAAAGTGTGTGTGTCCATTCATGGTATTGAGGGCTTTCGAGTGGGGATTGGTGAGCACATAAACATTTTCACTGTGGAATTTCTCCTGTGGAAACTCTTTGCGAGGTTGATATATTACTTTATTCGGCTTACGCACGTTTCGGCGAAACCGCCTTCATCAGAGCCTGAAAGGACCGAAACGATTTGCGACTGTCCGATCAAATGTCTCTGCAGCCTACTGAAGTTCGACCCTAAACAGGTCATCACCCAATCACGGGGAAGAGCACTTACCATAATAAAATAAAATCATTGAAATTGAAATTAATGGACTATGTTGTAAAATCTAATAAATGAGAATTATTGAGGGGGGTCGAAAGCAAAGAGATAGCTCAGCTTCCGTTTCGCACGTGCCCTTAGACAGAAGCCGAGCAAAAGTATATTCCTTGTTCCATAACCCAGTCCGATCCTTGAGTCCGATAGGAAGCTGGCAGCTGAACCGAATCGGACTGCTCAGCATTCAGAGTCCCTCGTGGAAGGCCAGTCT